TGATATGGGTTCCCCGACTACAACTTCACTTTTCCTCCGATGGATAAAAATTACCCCTCTATGTAACCCGGAAATGATACTCCAGGTCCAGGAAGTCGAAATAGAGGGGACCAAGGCAGGGTTTTGCGCAAATAAAATGTCCACCCACCTCATCCGCACAACTTTTGGGGCTAAGGTAAGAAAAAATATGATTATGGCACCTCCAGATGGCCGGAAATGGCACTCTCAGATTAGAAGTTGAATGATTTTGTCTGTTTTTTCTGAGGTTGAGGGCCCGTGCTGACAATATAACGCTTGAAATAGCCTATCATTTTGTATCACAAATTTCTTAATGTCAAGCGAAAGATATTTTTATTCGAAAGATTTTTTTACTCAATACAGTTGTTACAACACAGCGTAAATTCTGTAGTTAACCTTCAGAGAACTTTATTTTAAAAAATGGCCTAATTAATTATCTTATTGTTTTCGTTAAATTGGATGGAGTTTAATTGTGGTTGTATTCCGCTAGTTTGAAGGTTTATTGATAAGCCAATCAGTTACACTAACTATACATCTTCGTGGTTAGCATAAAGAGAACTAGAGCGTCGCTCCATTAAGAGTGCCTACGTTCCCCTTTATGCCTAAGTACAGAATTCACGAAGGCAGGCGATTTTTTCTTCATGCTTGAGGGTGGGATTCAAGGAAACTTTACAGACGTGCGTATACAGACGTCAATCAACATTTGGTCGCTCAACTCAAAAAGGGAACTTGTAATGCTCGTTAGAAAATGAAAAAAAAATATTATTTTATAATGATAATAACAAATAAACAAGTTGTCTAACGTGTCTACGCACCATATAATAGTAGTAGTAGTAGTAGTAATAATAATAATAACGATAACAATAATAACTATAATTAATAATAATAATAATAATGACATTGTAGCGTTCGTAAAATGTTTGTCACTGGTGCTGGGAACAGTCACAAAAGTGTGGGAGGGGGAAGGCCCCTCAGCGGAAAAAGTGGGTCCCCCTCCCCGCTTCCGCCGCCGTTGATACCACATATAGGCCTAAGACCTTTTCAAAAATATCTACATATTTTGTCATTTTCTGTAATGTAAATGAGCACTAGCCGTCTGCTTATTATATAAAATTTAAATGTTTTTCTTGATTTATGAGAATTGAGAAAAGATAATTTTGTTGACTTTGCATGGTTACTCTGAATAAACATTTTCCTTTAGCACAAATTTCTATATTAGGCCTATATAATATTATTTTATATTTTATTAATGAAATTTACAAAAACCTTAATTAAAAGCATTGATAGACCAACTACTATTTGAAAAGACAATAAAATTTCATTCATTTCAAGCATTTTTCATAAATCCTATACTAGTTTATTTATTACTAAAATTTAGGTCTTTATTATATACTTATTTTATGAAAAATTAGAAAATTTTAATTTGCATAGCAACGGTTGCTATAGTGATGACCTTGTATTTTATTACACCATTAAATTCACTTTTCTATAAAAGCTGTTTATCGTATAAAAAATATTGTATAAGCCAATCTAATAATATTTTTCTTAGAAAAATAATATCAGCAATTATGTGAATTCCATTCGTTGCTATGGAGTTATAAAAGTTCCGTAGCACTTTAGTAAAGGTGTTTAGGCTATTGATTGTTTTTTTTTAAATATTGCTCTTCCATAATACATAATCTAAATACAAAAATATTCATAAACGTATGACAATGATGATTTCAATAAGCTTTAAGCATCCATTATACTTAAATTTCATGAATAAAATAGGAAATTTAAATCTTCATAGCAACAGTTGCTATGGTGATGGCCTTGTATTTTATACATCAATGTGTTAACTTTGTTCAATAAGAGATGTTTATTATATAAAATATTGCATCTCATGATTTTTGCTTAGTCAATGACAAATGTACAGCAATTCTGCTGATTTTGCTTCGTTGCTATGGACTATAAAAAGAGTGTTGCTATGCAATTATATCAAAGTTTCAGCATTTTTTTACATAATCCTATTCTATGATAATAATAGATAATTCAGATGTTAAACATATTCATAAAACCTATGAAAATAAAGATTTTAATAAACTTTAGGCTTCCTGTATACTTAAATTTCATGAATAAAATAGGAAATTTAAATTTGCATATCGACGGTTGCTATGGTAATTGAAATTGTAGTTTTTCTAAATGCAAGGTTCATTTTCGATAATTAACGAATATTTTGAGTAAGTTTCACCAATTG